CTACCACGCCACTTTCTCAGATGGAAAAATCTACGTCTCATGTTGCACACCTTAAACTCCCGTAAGCTACCAAGCCACTTTCTCACACAGAAAAATCTAATGACACTACCTTCACCAAACTTCAACAATATTACTATGCTGGCCCATCTTTTAATCAGCTCGCACGGTATATCTATTACACCTTCGGTGTCCTTTTTTTGTGGGCGTTTTGGTTGAAGACTTGAAGTGGAGTGAAAAAGAACAATTTCAACACGAACCCTACCGTACCTACCGTATGCAGCATTAAGGGAGCTATCGCCAACTACTGAGTTGGCCTGTTGCGGATTTTGTTGTTTGGGTGGTCAATCAATCAATCAATGGTTGGTCCTCGTTTTAGGGTTACAGGCTAACCATACCGTACCGGACCATCCAACGGTTTTCACTCAGGCTCTAAAACAAAAATTGAAATTTCCACGCCTGAGCACTGTTTGAAACATGCCCTTAAACATGCCCTTATATAAACACGCCTTTAAAAAATACCCCTAATGCCTCGAAACATGCCCTTAAGCCTTCATTGAACACCATAGAACTCCCTTATCACGAATGAACAATGCCCTTATATGAACATGCCCTTGAAACATGCTCTTAAATCTGAAACATGCCCTTAAACATGCCCTTTTAAATAAACATGCCCTTCATGCCCTTAAAACATGCCCTTAGAAAGAACCAGTCGTGGTCGTTTTAAAGTCTGATGAAAACCGTCGGACAGTCCTGTACTCATCATAAGTAAAAGGTAGATATACATTAGCGGTGCGGCCAGATGTTAACCCAACTCCACTCCTCATACCGACACGACTCCTCCGCTGGCTAAGAGGTTGCTTGGTAGCTCTAGCAGTCATGCTAACTGCATAGCTAAGGCTCTCAGCAGGAGGAGCATTTGGGATGAAACTGGGCATTGAGCTGGGGAAGGAGCTGCCCAGGAGAAATGCTATAGAGATGTCACTGACTGCGAAGCTGAGGCTAGCTAGCTTGCTCAGGTCAGCAGGGGAGGTACAACCAGGACCAGGGCTGGAACTAGTAGGCGGGGGAAGGAGCTAGGAAAACTGCTAAAGAGCCATGTCAGTAGCTGGGAGGGTTGTGCAATCCACTGTCATGCCTTTTTGCTATTTCTGTTTCCGTAGTTGGCGCCACCGGAGGCATCTTGTTTTTTAAAAGGGATACCGGCACTGTTGCTTGCTAAAGAGGGTCCAACCCGACACACACTGCGGTACACGTGTACCAGGTTCGGTACTTGCTATCTCGACCTTGGTGGTGGTGGTGATGGTGGTGTAAAAGAGCGACTGCTAAATATTGAGATGTGGTTGTACATGTCACTACTTTCTACTTTTTGCAGGACGCTACCGGTACCAACCGGTATGCATACCTGCCACCCCCTGGCTGCACTGCAACGCTACGGTATGAGTGGATGTGCATTGCAACTTGCTGTCTCGTCCTGGCCTCTGGCTACCGGTACCACCCAATCCTTAGAACACAGATTTGATGGCGGTACTAGTACCAGGATGCACTACACAGTGCACTACCATAGTAGCTAGTTTCAACATGTTACCGTAGCTCTGAACTATATAATTGATTCTGAAGTTCATCATTGACCCGAAACAATTGAATTCATGCTTCAATCATGACATGATGGCACAGTGCCGCATGACATGGTTGGACTGCGCTGCACCGCGATCGCGCAGCCGTATTAGCCAGTTGTAGGTCCGGAGACAATAGCCATGGTATTAATATACCGTAGCAAGGCTGGTGGAGGTTTCGCACGAAGGGCAGCACTTCTTCCTCCCGCTGAGAGGCAATGGTGGGGTCGAGTACAGAATATTTTACAGTGCAAAGGGAAATTTGCGAACCGACTTGCCAACCTTTTCACCATCGCCGATGTACATGTCCAAAAATGCCAAGCTATGGCGAACTTTTGGACAATCACAATACACTACGCTCTGTACGTGACCAATCAAAGGTCAAAACTGTCAATCAAGGTCTTCCGGCTTAGAAAAGAGAGCAATAACTTCGCACCTTCGGTGCAACCGTAAGTTGTTGCGCTCACCTTCTGGTCTCGAGTAAGCACTGCACAGGTTTATGCCTCCACTAACTAAATACCTAAGGGCAGTGTGCACTAGCTAACTGCCGTTTTCCCCTTGTTTAGAGCTATAATGTGGTACCACATCACCCAATCGGTTTGTCGACTTGCTCGTGGGTGCTTCGCCAAGAGCAAGGTTTCACAAATTCATCGCTAACGACAATCCTCCCATTGCCTCCAACAGCACCAAAACTTTCGTCGCCTCCCCTTCGCCAAGGATGCACCACCATTGCTACTAAAACACCAATACACAATTTCAGAATTTCTGGCTAAGATTTACGAGTTCGCTGTATGCTAGCTAGCTGACACCACACTTTTAAACACCAGCAAGATGAAGTGGCGGGCTCTATTGAGATCAAGAGGAGGGGGGGGGGGGAGGAGGGGGGGGGGGGGGGGGATGAGCATGTCAAGGTTCTTGACGACACCATCAACGTGTCGAACAGAAGGGCAGGAATAGCTCCCAAGAAACCGACGTTAACCATTAGGACTGGGTCCTCCAAAGAAGGCGATGGCATGCCTAGAATCAACATGGGCTTAACCATGGCTGAGCTTCAGGACGAGGCCATGGCCCGTGGAATCGAAAGACAGTTTCTCCCGTCAAACAAGAAAGATCTTCTCGAGTTTCTGGTGGACGGTTCCATTTATCTTCGAAAGACAAAGACTTGGATGGATGTCGAGCGACTCAAGGGGAAGATGGCCGCTGACTGCAGGCGAATCGAAGAGCGAAAGTACAGCAAGGACGAAGCCATTAACGAGAGCCGAGAGGAAGTCTCGACAACCAGGGAGGTTGCAAAGGCCTCCATCAGAGACGAAAGAGCCTCCATGCGAGAGATCAAGACGGCCATCCGAGAGGTCAGGCAACACCATTACCGCAACAACACCAACATAACCGAAGAAGGCTTGCCGGTAGATATCACTGGCAGGGTAGTCCCACCACCACCGGATGCTGACGAACGGAAATCAACTGCTACTAGTATCGCAACGTCGGTTTACGACAACAAGACGCCCCCTTGTGATAACACGGCATCCATGAGTCGGTCGACAACTGCCGATGATGATACCGGGGTTGAAGACGTCTTCCCGCCCGTAGTCAACGAACGTCGTGCCGATGTGAGTGTAGTGGATATGCCCAATACCGTTAATTGGAACCGAGAACAAAGCACGATGGATCTGAGCTCTATTCAATCTCCAAGGACAAGTCGATACAGAGGTCACAGTTTCAAACTCGCAAACCGAAGCATCTCTTTCCACAGTACAGCACAAGACGATACTGTCATGGACAACTTCATGAAGCTTTTTCCGCTTTGCACCAACAATGTTTGCAGAACTGGAGGAGTTTCAACATCAAGAGAGAAGGACGTGGGCATCTCTCTGCTTAAAGGTGGAGGCTCTATATGTTGTGAGCTCTACAACTGAGTTCCGATATGCATACATATACCGGGATCTTTCGATCCTTGCTTCTCCAGTTCATCTACAGATAGATCTCGTCGATCTATCTTCCTGAAGTCATGGTTGGCCCTGGAGGCTTTCCCACTTTACTAAACTATGGACCTTCATCCGTCATTCATTTGCTCCATCCGTCGCTCCTTGCATTCATCTCCTCGACCTAACTTCCAACCTTTGTAGTTGCATCATCTAGACGACCATTGTCCTCGTTCCTCGTACACCTGGCCATCTGATGATGATCGGATAACCATCTGATTTGAGTCACAATCCCCAATCACGAACCGTGATTGTGGATCCCGAGTCGTCTGTCCGTCATACGAAAATACCTTTCTACACCCTTCCTGTTTTCGCGATGATGGCAGGACCTTCTTACCAACTCAAACCAATTGCTCCTTGTCTCCTGTTATTTTCGGTGCATGTCTGTCGAGGGTCTCGACGTTGACATTCTTGGTTCCAATGTCGCTCACGTTGTCTTCCGAGCGAACAAAATCAATCTTCACTAGGCCGTCCTGCTGCATTTGATTCACGTAGTGCCACCTCGTATCCATTTGCCTTGTTCGACTTGCACTTGTCTTGTTCTCTGACATAAAGATAGCACCTACGTTATCGATCTTCACTTGCACAGGTAGTTCCACTTGATCTGTAGGAACTTCAGAATCTGCGCGATGAACGGGACTTCTCGACTGCTTCGCCACACGCGTAGAACTCAGCTTCGGAACTCGACCATGCTACGACCTTCTGTAGCTTGACCTCCAGTGAATGAGCACACCTTCGAGAAAGATCATCATGGACGTGACTGATCTTCTTTGTTCTTGTCTCCGGCCCAATCCGAATCCGAGAATACTTCCAATTTCCACGGTCCTCGTTCTTCTCTGGTCTCATCAAAGTCCACGGTTCCTTGAGTCCAACACGTACTTTACAAGCGTAGCATTTCTTTGTAAGCTGCCGCGTTGCGCATCCCAAGACTTAGCTAGTCTCGTACTGCTTCGAGATTTCTGGCCTTGAATGCTTGATAGGTACATGAGCTACTACTCCTGTTCGATATCGCTCTGTTGTTCTTCAGCATCATTCACTCTGTTCGTCTGTCTTTACTATTCCGAGTCCAGCGTTCCCGCAGTCTTGTTCTTGGTAGCTTCTGTACCTTCCTACCGAATGTGGTTTGAATCTCTTAATCATGTGGGGTTGTCCCACCCATGCGCATCCTTTCGGGGATTCATCCGAATCTCACAGCTCAGGTAGTCCGTGAGTTGTACTCTATGGTCATGTTCAAGCCTCGATCTTTAATCCCTTGAAGCACTTCCTTTATATCGTCTTCTTCTCCAATGGTGAGTTGTCATCCACGTAACATAGAATCGCATATCTTTTCCCATTCTTTGTTCCGCATGAAGAGGCATGGATCACTAGAACATGTAACGAATCCTAAGTCTTCCAGGACACTCGCAAATTCAAGTAGTACTGTCGTGCGCTCTGGCAAAGCACCATAGATGGTCTTGTCCAGTATGACACATTCGTCGTCTTGGTGTTCTAGTCCTTTTGGGCAGTCCATGTAGATGACTACGTCCATGTCTCCATGTAGGAATGCTGTCTCAATATCGAAGATAATTGCTTTCGCTCTTCCCATCTTCTTTAGTAGTAGAATCAAGATGATGCGGAAGGTGATGTCGTTAGCCACCGGACTGTAGATGTTGTCAAAATCAATTCCGGGACCTGACTGTGTCCGCAGGCCACCAATCTTGCTCTGAATCTTCCATTCCGTTGATTTCCAGCACCCATTTGTGTTTGAAACATCGTCTCCCTTCCCATTCTTGATCTCTTGATCTTGCGCCAGACCTTGAGTTTCTCCATCTTGTCTAGCTCGCCTTTGATCGCCTCCCTCCACTTCTCTCGCTGAAATGGTTCCGGGTGGTCCCAAGCTTCCTCGAACGTGCTTTGCTTTGGTGAACAGATACTTGTACTTTGCTGGATCCTGAATCCTTGGGTCATATGCGAGAGTCTCTTGATCAATGGATGCCTGTCCTAGTCCTCCGTCAAATCTACTTTCTGCTGCCGTGTACCCAACTCCATCCAGTCTTCATGTGCGTTCCCAAAACGTTCTGTCATTGGAATCGTCGAAAAGTTTCCATTTCTGTCATTGGCGTGATTCCGGTTGTTCGTGCTGAGCTGTTATCTTCTCTCCTCCTTCGGATGCATCGTCCGAAAGTGCTTGCATGAGGGAGCCCCCGTCATGAGGTTGTACCGCCGCTAGCTTGTCCAGTGTCTGTAGGGCCTGGGGGTTGTAGCTCGCACTGAGTTTCTGTAGTTTCCCGCGTTGCCTTGGATAGTTTGGGTCGCGACCGGGTCAGGTGGTTTGGCTGTTGGGATCGCGAGAACTTTATTAATCTTCTTTGGTTTCTAGTGTGATTGCTCCTGCTTTGGTAGTCTTCGTGGGCTTAAGGAGCAGATCATGAGAGTTCGACTCCCGGTTTTCTGTAGGTAGGACGCTGAGGAGTTTGTCTTTTCCAATATGTGTGAGTTCTTCTGCTGTTGCTGGGTAGACCCATACCCTTCCATTCGGCATACGTTCTTGTCCATCCAGATCACATCGCGTGTGAGTACTTGTGCTCCTGTTGCGATATTGTACATCTTGTACGTGTCTGCATGTGATTCCGTGCTCTTCCAAGATAAGCATAGGTAATCCACGATCTTGTAGTTTTCCCTTGATCTTTCCAACAAACTTGACGTATCCAACTTCTCCGAATCGTCGCAACTTGGGATAATTGTGGAATGTCTTCTCCATAGAACATACGAAGCTTGGATTGTCATGAGATCTGACTGTAGTACATTTTCAACGTCAAGTGACGTGCATGACTGCATCTCCGAGAGAAACTTTCGTTGCTTCTCATCAAAACCGGCTTCGTGGAACATGGCCGAATTCGATCGGTGCCTACTGCAATCCATCGTTCTACCTTTCCGTTCTGTTGAGGCGTATCTCGTCCAGTTAGCTCAAACTTAACCCGTCTCAAACATGGTTCAATCGCGTTTTCACATTCCGTCATCAGCTTCTTGTTCTCTCCTGCATCGTCCATCCGGATGTAGTGTACTGGAGTGCCCCTGCGATCCATCACTCGAATGAAGTTCTGACTTTAAGGATGACATCGCGTTTGGTCTGAATGATCCTACTCCATCGCATACTGGTAGCATCATCAATGATCGCCAGCCAATACTTTCCTCCCTTGGTAGACGTGCCTTCATCCACAGACGAGGTATCTATAAAAATTCGTTCTCCAGGGATCTCTGATGTCGTTGAAGTCTCCTTGGCTACGGGTGCTTGCTTTGCTCGTCCTGCTCCACAGTGAGAACATGGTTCCAATGTCCCTGTGAGCTTCACCCGTACTGATGTGCTATCCTGCGTAGTGCGGCTTCACTCGCATGTCCCAGCTTCCTTGTGGAGGTCATTGATTTTCCAGTACTTCACCTTACTTGGCTGTTCCACTTTGGCGTATCGCTGTACTGCGAGTCTCTTTCAGATCGCTTCCGTGCCGTTCATCGTGCCGCGTAATTGCTCTCTTGTGGCATGTTCCTGTGGAAAGAGATCAATGCCGCAAAGATATCCGTCTTTGGTTGAGTTAATTTTATCAAGACTATTCGTTTGTTGCGTTGCGTCAAAGACAATCTTGGTTCCTTTATTCGAGATGCTCCACCCTTCTGGATTGCCTTGACCAAACTAAATAAACATACACCCAGGTTAGGGGACATACTTGTAATCCAACAGTGTCAAGTCATACTCGTACCATCACGTTGCATTGCCGTTAACTTGATCGTCCTTTCTTTACTGCTCGGATCTTGTCTCCACTTCCAACCTTGATCCTTCATCAATTTCTTCCACTCAGTCATTCCATCGTCCACTTTGCCCATATGAGTTGATGCGCCACTGTCTGCAATCCATGTGCTCCGGCTGAAACCTTCTCCTGACCTCATGGTGAAACATACTCATCGCTTCCTTCATTACCTTGTAATCTGCCAGCGCTTCTTCCTTTGCCTGTCGAACTTTCCGACTTGCCACGCTTTAGCTGAGCCACATTACGTGACGCTGGTGGGAAGTATGGTAACTGACGGATGATCACCTGCATTCCTGTCTGCACGTTGGCGTCCACAAAGTGACTCACTTGTCCTTGTGTGACTAGGCCGGCATTCAGTAACATGTCTATGCCGGGGGAGTTCTCGATCAACGATCGGTGCAGTCCATCTCGTTGGTACTGAAAAGTTGATGCGTCAATCCTTGTAGTAACGTGGAATCTTGGGATACCATCGTTAGGGTGATCACTCCTGCAAGTTCAAACGCACTTGCCAATAGTTTTGCCCGATCTTCTGCCATCCAGGTCCGTCCTTGGTATACTGACCCACATAAACATCAAAAGCCCTTCCCACTTTCGTTCGCGGTGGCTCGTGCCTAGAATAGTTTGAGGATGAGCTCGTCTCTGATCACTACCAGTCGTCTGGACTGTGTCGTCCACTCCCAACAAGCATATGTCAGCAGCTCGCCCATTGACTTTGCGACGTTGTTGTTCACGGTAAATGCGATCGGCTGCGACCCTTGGGATACCAATAGTTCCGTAGGATAGAGTTTCGCACTGAAAATCTTCCTCTCCGAGCATCATACTCTGTGGGTAATCCTTCCTTCTTCATTTGTTTGATTGCCTCGTTGCGCCTGCGTCTGCTTGTCTGCTCACGAGCACGTGACCAGAATCAAGCGCTTCCACCGTACAATCACTGGCCATGGGTTGTGCGAATCCGCTTCTCCCAACAGTGGCATATCCACGAGTACCTTCCAATCCCATTGTATTGAGCATGTGCGACCATCTCCGTTACATACTTCACTTCTATTTCGGGAATGCTGAATGCCGTGAACCGAACATTCTGCGTTTCCTTTCCTTCGCGACGTTTGGTCCGCGCTTTATTTGCACGTTAACATACCCCTGCGATTGTTGTCGTGTCTGGAGTCCAATCGCGAAAGAGCAACACACTGCTGGCCCAACCTAGCACTTCCGCCTGGAGCTCCACGAGATGGGGGTTGTTCTGTATCTTGTATGGCATCATCCTCAGCAACCATCTGAACTGTTCGAAGTTTCCGACCAGTTGCTTCATCTCTGGGCTCGAGTGCCCTTCCCATATTCTTCGGGGATTAGTTGGCATGCTTCTTCCGCGATTCTCCTCCACTGTATACCACCTTTGTGTGAATCGTCCAATTCACCATCCTTCGGTTGCTGGTTCATGGGATGTCGGTTGTTCAATGGGATTGGATGTTTGCTGTCTTCATCCTGTGTCGACTCCAACCTCGGTCAGCTGTCCTCTAGCCGTTCCGGGCATCTTGGAATCTGTTCGCCATCTTTTACTTCTTCGTCGTCTTCGCTCAAACAGCTGTAGTAGTTGTCGTCTTCGTAGATTGTGGGCGAATTTGTCGTTCGTTGTTTCTCCTCTTCTCAGAAATTCTTTTTTGTAGCCTTTTGCTTTAATCGTGGAGTGTTTCGCTGTCGGAATCTCCTGCTCTCTGTTTCGAGGACAGATAGGTAACGCTGGGTTCTGTTGTATGTGACTGATTTTTCTTTAGTCAGTCGTTGTTGTTTTTCTTGGAGATTTGGGTATTGTCATCTCTCTCTTTTCCCTACCACGCCACTTTCTCAGATGGAAAAATCTAACGTCTCATGTTGCACACCTCTAAACTCCCGTAAGCTACCACGCCACTTTCTCACACAGAAAAATCTAATGACACTACCTTCATCCAAACTTCAACAATATTACTATGCTGGCCCATCTTTTAAGTCAGCTCGCACGGTATATCTATTACACCTCCGGTGTCCTTTTTTTGTGGGCGTTTTGGTTGAAGACTTGAAGTGGAGTGAAAAAGAACAATTTCAACACGAACCCTACCGTACCTACCGTATGCAGCATTAAGGGAGCTATCGCCAACTACTGAGTTGGCCTGTTGCGGATTTTGTTGTTTGGTGTGTCAATCAATCAATCAATGGTTGGTCCTCGTTTTAGGGTTACAGGCTAACCATACCGTACCGGACCATCCAACGGTTTTCACTCAGGCTCTAAAACAAAAATTGAAATTTCCACGCCTGAGCACTGTTTGAAACATGCCCTTAAACATGCCCTTATATAAACACGCCTTTAAAAAATACCCCTAATGCCTCGAAACATGCCCTTAAGCCTTCATTGAAACACCATAGAACATGCCCTTATCACGAATGAACATGCCCTTATATGAACATGCCCTTGAAACATGCTCTTAAATCTGAAACATGCCCTTAAACATGCCCTTTTAAATAAACATGCCCTTTTAAAACATGCCCTTAGAATGAGAACCAGTCGTGGTCGTTTTAAAGTCTGAGTGAAAACCGTCGGACAGTCCTGTACTCATCATACAGTAAAAGGTAGATTATACTATTATGCGGTGTCGGCCAGATGTAACCCAACTCCACTCCTCATACCGACACGACTCCTCCGCTGGCTAAGAGGGTTGCTTGGTAGCTCTAGCAGTCATGCTAACTGCATAGCTAAGGCTCTCAGCAGGAGGAGCATTTGGGATGAAACTGGGCATTGAGCTGGGGAAGGAGCTGCCCAGGAGAAATGCTATAGAGATGTCACTGACTGCGAAGCTGAGGCTAGCTAGCTTGCTCAGGTCAGCAGGGGAGGTACAACCAGGACCAGGGCTGGAACTAGTAGGCGGGGGAAGGAGCTAGGAAAACTGCTAAAGAGCCATGTCAGTAGCTGGGAGGGTTGTGCAATCCACTGTCATGCCTTTTTGCTATTTCTGTTTCCGTAGTTGGCGCCACCGGAGGCATCTTGTTTTTTAAAAGGGATACCGGCACTGTTGCTTGCTAAAGAGGGTCCAACCCGACACACACTGCGGTACACGTGTACCAGGTTCGGTACTTGCTATCTCGACCTTGGTGGTGGTGGTGATGGTGGTGTAAAAGAGCGACTGCTAAATATTGAGATGTGGTTGTACATGTCACTACTTTCTACTTTTTGCAGGACGCTACCGGTACCAACCGGTATGCATACCTGCCACCCCCTGGCTGCACTGCAACGCTACGGTATGAGTGGATGTGCATTGCAACTTGCTGTCTCGTCCTGGCCTCTGGCTACCGGTACCACCCAATCCTTAGAACACAGATTTGATGGCGGTACTAGTACCAGGATGCACTACACAGTGCACTACCATAGTAGCTAGTTTCAACATGTTACCGTAGCTCTGAACTATATAATTGATTCTGAAGTTCATCATTGACCCGAAACAATTGAATTCATGCTTCAATCATGACATGATGGCACAGTGCCGCATGACATGGTTGGACTGCGCTGCACCGCGATCGCGCAGCCGTATTAGCCAGTTGTAGGGTCCGGAGACAATAGCCATGGTATTAATATATGACATGGGTGGTACCGTAGCAAGGCTGGTGGAGGTTTCGCACGAAGGGCAGCACTTCTTCCTCCCGCTGAGGCAATGGTGGGGTCGAGTACAGAATATTTTACAGTGCAAAGGGAAATTTGCGAACCGACTTGCCAACCTTTTCACCATCGCCGATGTACATGTCCAAAAATGCCAAGCTATGGCGAACTTTTGGACAATCACAATACACTACGCTCTGTACGTGGCCAATCAAAGGTCAAAACTGTCAATCAAGGTCTTCCGGCTTAGAAAATAGAGCAATAACTTCGCAGCTTCGGTGCAACCGTAAGTTGTTGCGCTCACCTTCTGGTCTCGAGTAAGCACTGCGCAGGTTTATGCCTCCACTAACTAAATACCTAAGGGCAGTGTGCACTAGCTAACTGCCGTTTTCCCCTTGTTTAGAGCTATAATGTGGTACCACATCACCCAATCGGTTTGTCGACTTGCTCGTGGGTGCTTCGCCAAGAGCAAGGTTTCACAAATTCATCGCTAACGACAATCCTCCCATTGCCTCCAACAGCACCAAAACTTTCGTCGCCTCCCCTTCGCCAAGGATGCACCACCATTGCTACTAAAACACCAATACACAATTTCAGAATTTCTGGCTAAGATTTACGAGTTCGCTGTATGCTAGCTAGCTGACACCACACTTTTAAACACCAGCAAGATGAAGTGGCGGCGTCTATTGAGGATCAAGAAGAAGGATGAGCATGTCAAGGTTCTTGACGACGCCATCAACGTGTCGAACAGAAGGGCAGGAATAGCTCCCAAGAAACCGACGTTAACCATTAGGACTGGGTCCTCCAAAGAAGGCGATGGCATGCCTAGAATCAACATGGGCTTAACCATGGCTGAGCTTCAGGACGAGGCCATGGCCCGTGGAATCGAAAGACAGTTCCTCCCGTCAAACAAGAAAGATCTTCTCGAGTTTCTGGTGGACGGTTCCATTTATCTTCGAAAGACAAAGACTTGGATGGATGTCGAGCGACTCAAGGGGAAGATGGCCGCTGACTGCAGGCGAATCGAAGAGCGAAAGTACAGCAAGGACGAAGCCATTAACGAGAGCCGAGAGGAAGTCTCGACAACCAGGGAGGTTGCAAAGGCCTCCATCAGAGACGAAAGAGCCTCCATGCGAGAGATCAAGACGGCCATCCGAGAGGTCAGGCAACACCATTACCAGCAACAACACCAACATAAACCGAAAGAAGGCTTGCCGGTAGATATCACTGGCAGGGTAGTCCCACCACCACCGGATGCTGACGAACGGAAATCAACTGCTACTAGTATCGCAACGTCGGTTTACGACAACAAGACGCCCCCTTGTGATAACACGGCATCCATGAGTCGGTCGACAACTGCCGATGATGATACCGGGGTTGAAGACGTCTTCCCGCCCGTAGTCAACGAACGTCGTGCCGATGTGAGTGTAGTGGATATGCCCAATACCGTTAATTGGAACCGAGAACAAAGCACGATGGATCTGAGCTCTATTCAATCTCCAAGGACAAGTCGATACAGAGGTCACAGTTTCAAACTCGCAAACCGAAGCATCTCTTTCCACAGTACAGCACAAGACGATACTGTCATGGACAACTTCATGAAGCTTTTTCCGCTTTGCACCAACAATGTTTGCAGAACTGGAGGAGTTTCAACATCAAGAGAGAAGGACGTGGGCGCTGCCGGGAAGAGTGACTTTGAGAAGGAACAGCAGCTGGCAGAGGTCATCCAAAGACGAAACCAGTGGAAGGAAACTAGAACCAAGGAACAGATGGAATTGCAAGAAAAGTGGGATGCATTTCTTCAGTTTGAGGCTTGGATCATTTCTCCTCCTGAAAAGAACAAGCTATTGAAAGGAAGCATGATGAAAGGATTCACGGTCTGGTGCAGCATTTCATCCGACATGTCCCGTCATCCTCCCAAGCACTTTGATTCCACGTACAAGAACCTCAACGATGCGAATTCTCGGGCACGCTATCTGTTTTATTGGCGAAACCCATGGCGTTTGCCTGCCTATAAGATGGCCGAAGTTGTGTTGATCAAGTCTGACAACTCTGCAATGAGTGGGTGCGCAAGTACGTTCCATTGCGTTCATCCTAATGGCGACAAGTGGATTGTGTCGGTCGTGAACGATTCTACGTTCCGGTACTTGGACAATGCCGTCATGCAGCGTCACGAACTTGACCTCGTTTGAGAGAAAGTTCTTGAGAGAGGATGTCAACTAATAAGCCAGAAGCTTTTTTACCGTTGGCGGTAGAAGGGGCGGGTAGTCTGCCTTGGTTATTCCCTATTCTGTCCTCAATGAAGGGAGGGGTGCCTCGGTTATTTCATTTCGTCGTTGTTGTAGACCAGTTTGTTTTACTTTCGTACATAATACTACGATTTCGGGTGTATGGCGTAGAGCAACTTTTAAAAGAATAAGCCTATACTAAGATACATCTATACCTATGAATTGGATGTTTTTAACATTGTGTAGTCTTTGATTCATCAACAAGTGTATCTTCTGGGGTATGCATACAGCGTACCGTACGCCTGACCCGATGTTGCGATGCTGCCCCCCAGGAGTACGAGGGGCCGGGGCACCCAGCAACAGTCTAGCCGTCAAATGCCTCTGGTTGAGCTTGGGGATCTGCCGCGGCTTTGTCAATTTCATGTGCTTGGCCTCTGCACTGCCACAAAATACGAGCTTAGCTACAACGGCTATTGAGTTTATATGAAGTGGGGAGTGGTTGGATTTCAAAACCCTTGAAGAAGCACTGACCTACCGGTACCTACCCACCAGGTCCAATGTCTGCGTCTTCCGCCTCTCCCTCAGTTTACCCAGCCAAGCGGAATTGTGGAACCTTGCCAGGACCTTCGTTAGGTCAAGTCCTGGAACTACACCAGGACCTTTACGGTACTAACTAAACCAGAACTTGGGCACCGCACTGGGATCTTCTCCTGGACCAACCCCTACCGGTACACTCCAACTGCTAGCTTGCATTCTGGTTTTGGACAGCCACCGGTCGGTACTGGTACTCTCATCAGCAATCTCTCCACTGTCCGTCCCTGTCATTGCACTTCCTTGTCACAGGACAGACTGACAGACGTACGGGACTTGCGAAATGGCCGATTGCAAGCTTTTCGGGCAGCGTGCGGTGCGGTGCACTCGCCATAAGAATCCATTTCGATTGAGCACGGTATTGGCACTTTTGACATATCTTCCCTCTTCGACCCTTTGAGCTCGTCTGCCGGAGCCTAAGAGGAGATACAATCAACTTGCAGCTAGCTAGCTGGTCATCAATAAGGAAGGGAACTGTTGTTGGTGCTTCAGAATTTTATAGGACGCCACCGACCCAAAATCTCTGCCTTTTACATTTTCCCACGCTCGAGATACCCTCTCCACGGTCCTCTAAAAGTCTCTCACAATGGCGGCCAACGCTATTGCTTCTCTGTTAATGGACCGGTTTGTGTCGGCCAGTTCTGCTGATGATGCCCGTTCCTCCTTGGAGCGTATTTTGGAGGCATTGGAAGCCAACAAGCAGCCCCCTCTGGACGATGAGAAGGATGAACCTCCCCGATTGGCTCCTGAAATGATCTGGAGCGACCAAGATATGCTCAACGCCCTTCGCCAAGTCCTTCACACGGGGAATCACAAGCAGAACGACATGGAAGTCCCTGTAGACGAGGGAGCGTCGCTAGTGTGTAAAATCTACATGGAAATGGTCGAACAAGAAGCCAACAAGAGTCCACTACTCGACAAAGACGAGGCTCTTCTGGAGTGTCTTATTGATGTCATTAGCAGCGATCCTTCGAATAATGATGATCCTGATGCTATTACTGTCGTATCCATGTACACTCGTGTCTTGGCACTACAGCTTTTGACCAAACTATGTGTCAAGCGGCCATCCAAAGCCCAAGCACAATTGCTGCAGGCACCCAATGGATTGAATCGTCTCGGGGATCTCCTGCAGGTGCACCAGGAAGAAATCATCCGAAATGAAGCATTGTTGCTGGCTCAGGTTATTGCTGAGTGGCCTTCTTGTGCCAAAATTTGGATGTTTGCGGAAGTGGCGGATCAAGTCATCTTGTTGGCAATCGAAGAGGGTGGGTTGACCGGTGGCAATCTACTGGTTCAGGATTGTTTGGACCTGCTATTCAGGTTGTGGAAACATGATCCCAGCTTGGCAGACCTGGTATTTCAATCCCAGACAATCACCCAGAATCTGCCCCTTTTGTTGGATCTAAGACAAGGAACCGAGTTTCGCAATCCACCCAGTAAAACAAAGACTGCCAAAAAGGACGACGATTTGGACGACATTTTAAAGAGTGCCGAAGACAAGGCTGCCGAGTCAAAAGAGGACGAAGTTGTGGTCCCTCGCTTGACTGGAGCAGAAGAAAAAGTTATTTCAAAGACACTCGATATCTTGTCGCTCTTGCTCGAATCGGATGGACTCAAACAATCTGTTTGGATTCGAGAGTTGCAGTTGTGTTCGTTTACTTGGGAATTGGCATTGGTAGCACCTCCCCCTCCGCAGGTGCCATTCGTCTGCTCCGTGCCATCTCCAACATTGCAACAAAAAGCTCTGGAAACTGTTGCCCTCTACTTCAATGACACAACCACGTTGGAGCGCCATGCTGGACTGGACCGATTATTGTATCTGGTCTGTACTGGTGGATTTGGAACTTCGTTAATGGAGAAAATGGGAATTTCACAAGCTGCTCTGCACGTTATTCGACAAACCGTCAGCGTGGAGTCGGCCAATCAAATGCTCATGTACACCTTGGCACCACCCATGACAATGGGCGACGAAGATGGTGGCAACACACCGCCACCTCCTACCGTAGTCCACAAGCTGTTGAACACTGTGGCAGAAAATCTTACCGCCACCGAAGGAATTGATCCAGAACGTCGCAAGGTTTTCTTGGCTGGAGCCTTGGGAGGACTGTCAGTTTTTCTTACGGATCAAACTAGTCGCGAAGTCATGCTGCGTATTACCACTGGAACAGCTGAGAGCGATGAGGGTGACGATCCTGATGACCCTGCCGAAACTACGACAACAACTAGCCTAGTGGAATCGATACTGCATGCAGTCGGTACAATGGCGGAAACGGAGAATCCTGAAAATCCCTTTCTCTCCACGACGCTGCTTCGCTTCTTGTGTCATTGGACCGTGGAGACGCCTGCGGTTGTTCAGACTATCTTATCGTCGAATCAAAGCAGCATTGTCTTGAGTGCCCTGCTGGGTATCAAAACCAAAACACAAAGTCACAAGAAAGGGGTGGCAGTGTTGGGGAAGCTATTGCTTGGGCTTTCGATGGAGTACATGGGCGAAGACGAAGGCAAGTGCGGGGGGTGGACTCGCGCCAGCATCATGGAATTGATTGCCAAGAAAAGTGGAGGCGTCAGCAAATTCACATCCTCCTTGGAACAGTTCAAATCAGTCAATGATTTTGGTGACACTATGCCATGGTCAGTTTGCAAGCTGGAGTTCAAGGTGTGGTCACAATGGTTCGCAAACTGTGTCCTGTTGGTACGAAAGCGCGTCGTGCAGGAGCTCACGGGTAGCGGAGACGGCGAAGAAGAAGATGAGGAGGACGAGGGACTCGAAGGAAGCATCCCTCGGGATACTGCCGGAAGCGGCAGTGCTCGATCCCTACAAAAGGTCGTTTTCCAGCAATCTAAAGAAATTGACGAGCTGCAACAATCACTTGACACGGCGAACGCGACAATAAAAACCCAGCATCACGATCTGTCTGAGTACAAGCGGCGTGTAGAGAGCGCACCAAGTCAATTGGATACCATGCTAAACGAATACTTGGCAAAGATTGCCGAGCTTGAGAACACTGTCTCAAGTTTGCATGAAAAGAATCGTTTGGATGAAGAGAAACATACCTCAGAATCGAAAGCTCGCGATGATAGGATCGCCCTCCTTGAGAAAGAGTTGGAGGAATCGCGTGCGAGGGAGAAAGAATCACGCGATGAAGCGGACACAGTGCGGGAGGACATGGAATCTCTTAGCCAGGCGTACACCAACCTGGAACAGGAGTACAGGCATCAGCAGCAACAACAGCAAGGAAGGCAAGAAAGTGGTGTATCGTCTACAGAAACAACGACAACAGTCTCGGAGCAGCAGCCGGGTGAACCAGATCAGGAAGGCGCCGCGGGCGGTCACGCTGGATCGACAGAGATATCGGCTCTTCGCGCTGAGAATGAGCGACTCCGTAATGATGCTCAAGCTGCCGACAAATGGATGTCTATGGCTGTCGAAAAGATGCAAGCGATGGGGCAGCAAAATGCAGGTCTTCAGGCTGAATTATCTACCCTGAAAGATGGCCAAGCTATGAATCAACAGCATTTGGAGCTCCAGCAGCACAACCAGACGCTTTTTGCTGAGAAGGAAGCCATCGTACGGCAGCAAAGTCAGATGCAAGCTCACCTTGACGGCGTGGTAAACGAGAACCAGGGACTCCGCGGGGCGCTAAATCAGGGTCAAGCGCAGTATATGGAACTTGAACGGCAACTCACAGGAGCGAGGGAAGAGTTGCAATCTACTGTAACAGCCTTGGAAGAAGCCAGGTCGCAAGGGGCGGCCGAACGGGCTGACCTCGACAATCAATTGACAGAACTGAGAAGCGAGTTGGAAAGCTTGTCTTCAGAAAGAGCCCGACTCCAGGAGCAACTGGATGAAATCCAGAAGAAGAGCGCTGAGGGAGAAGTTCAGGCGCAGGCAAGTGCTCAGGCCGTCGCAACCTATGAAGCGGCGTTGACGTCCAAGGACGAGGAGATTATGAAACTGCAGAATGCCATGGCTGGACAATCCTCTAGTGTGGAAGCCCAGAAGGAGTCTCATGCACAGGAAGTAGAGGCGCTTCAAAAATCGATTGCAGAACTTCAGGGGCAGATCGAGGCTTCCAATACTGAGGTTGAGAGGATTCGCACGAACGGACAAGAGGAGATTTACAAATGTGAATCTAGAATCCGCGAACTCGAAGCAAAACAAACCACTGGGCTAGGGGCTCAAAGTGCAGCTTCCGATGAGGCTCTAAAGAAGAAAGACGGCGAGATCAGTGAGCTCACCGCTGCGAATGATGCCGCTCAGGAGTGGATGGCAAGAGCAGTCGATCACCACAATATGCTCTCTCAACAACATGCCAAACTAGGAACAGAGAATGCTGCCTTGTTGGCCCAAATCAAGGAGCTCAAAGAGAAGGTTGCACAAGACAGTGCAACGATTTCGAAAGCCAAGGCACTGGAGGAGGAGTCGCTGGCCAAAGCAAATCGTATCAGAGATTCCGAAGCCTCTTTGGAAGCTTGCAAACTAGAGCTGCAACGTGTACAAGCCGAGGTGACCCTGCTCCAAAATCAGAAACTAGAGCTCGCAAGCTCGGCTGCCGAAGTTCAACAGCTCCAAAATCAGCTTGATAATCTAAGGGCCTCTCATGATGAACAGGTTGCTGCATGCGAAAGTGCACGGCAGGAACTCGTTCTCGAAAAGGAGTCTAAGGAGGAAGCATTGGCAAAGCTTGAAGCGGCCAACAAAGAGCATAGCGACTCGCGAGTCAACGCAGAGGACGAGATTCGGACATTGAAGGAGAGAATGGAAGCTCTGGATGCTGCTTTGAAAGATAAATCCGCAACTTTTGATGAGTTGAACGCCCAAATTGCAGCAGAACGAGAGTCAAGCAAGAGCGCAAATGACAAACGCGAATCGCTGCGAATGGAAACTGAGCAGCTGAGCGAGGAATTAGAACTACTGCGGTCGAAGAGCGAAACCGCCGAAGAGGACACCCAGAAGGTGATAGATTTGACGAAGGAGCTGGAGATTGCCAAGGGGACAAACGAATCTCTCCTTCGGTCGCAAGAAGATGATAAAATGACAATTTCCAGACTAAGCGACGAGATTGCTTCTATGCGGTCTGCCAAGGAAACCTTGACAGTGCAACAAACACCTCCGGCTGCAGCCACAGAAACCCCTGCTGCTGAGGCCTTCTTCTCTGTTGCCCCCCAGTCTCAGCCAGTTGCTGCCCATGATGTCTTCTCCGCCGGCGGATCGGCCGCAGCGGCAAGCGAGTCTCTCGCGCCACCTCAGCCCGGTAACCCTAGTGGTGCGCTTCAGCTGTTTGCATCAGGTCCTCCAGCATCCGAGGGAGTCAGTGCCCGAGATGTCTTTGGTTCTGCTCCTAGTGAACAGAGTGCCGGTGACTTCTTCTCCGGAGGTCCGCGTGTTTCAGACACCGCGGCCAGCACTAACGCTGAGGGACTGCAACGAACAGCTGATCTCGAACGACAGCTGCAACAAAGTTCGGAACAAGTCCGTCAGCTTGAGCAACAATTGAGGGAAGCGCGCGCTGAGTTGGAGCAGACGAAGACGCAAGTTGCAGAAAAAGGTACGGGTGGTCCAGGTATGTTTCTATTTGAAGAAGGCCATTGTCTCTTGCGAAATTGCCCAACTGACTGCGCTCCTTTCTTGTTTGCTTGTGTGGTTTACTTGGCAGAACGCATTTCAGAGCTTGAGCTCGCTGTGAACCAACTGCAACAGCAGCTCAAGGAGTCCGAGGATGCGAAGACTCAACAAGTCTTGATGGTCGAATCATTAGAGAAGAAGAGCAGCGAACTTTCTCTCTTGGTCGAATCATCGGGTGCCCAAGGCAACGTCCAGAAAGAGCTCGAGGAAACCACAGGCAAGTTGGCTCAAGCGTTGGCCAAGCTCGAGGAGGACAACGACGTTGTTGTTGAGTGGGAAGGTGAGTCTACTCGCCTGTCCCGCTCCGCTGTTTGATGGCATTTGTTCTTACGTGTGTGTTCTCGTTATCTGGTCCCTGTAAAAGAGCGAGTTGCTGGGCTGGAATCTGCCATTAAAGACATGGAAATCCAACTGACCGAACAAGAGGAAAATGCCACAACTGTTATTGCTAAGTGGCAAGAGAGTTGCAATGCATTGGAAGAGAAAAATGCTGAGTTACTCAGTGCATTGGAGTCCTGCGGCGTTGGGGAAGAAGGTGTGATTAGTCGAGAAGCTTTGGCGCTTTTGCACGAGCGCCTAAGAGAAACCGAGGCGAGTCTAGCTAGTGCTCGTGCGCACATGAAAGATGACGATGATGTGGTGCTGAGATGGCAAGGTATGTCTATCCTCGCTTGACACGCTGCCATGATTCGGCGCACTCTCTAACCCCTTCCAACTCCCTTAGAGCGTGTCGCGGAGTTAGAAGCGGCAGGAAAAGAGTTTGATTCACAACTGAGTCAGCAGGAGTTGGAAGCGAAGACTGCCATTGCCCAGTGGCAAGAAAGCTGTACTTCATTGCAAGAACAAAACACGGAGCTTCTGAGCAAACATGAACAAATGCAGCAAGAGCTGAATGAAGCCAAGGCGAGGATTTTAGAAGATGAGGACGTTGTTGCCAAATGGCAAGGTAGGTCCATCCCAGCAACTGAGGATGGCATGATCTGTCGCTCTTGTTTCTTATGTTTAATCTCTCTTTTTGAAGATCGTACATCTGCGTTGGAGGAGGCCATTAAGGACTTGGAAGCCCAGCTGAACGAACAAGAGGAAGATGCGAACAATGTTATCTCGATGTGGCAGCAGAGTTGCAGCACCCTGGAGGAGCAAAAGGCTGAACTTGCCCAAAACCTTGAAACATCAAATGAAGCTGAAACGAATATTCGAGCTCAGCTACAGGAAAGTCAACAAGCACTGGAGGAAAGTCAGCAGAACGTTACCAAGGGAGAGGAAGCTCTGGCACAGAGTGTTGAAGCTGAAAAGAACCTCAAAGCACAATTTGAAGAAACGCAGCAGGCACTGGAGGAAAACAAGGAAAAGGTACTGAAGGGAGAGGAAGACCTGGCGAAGCACATGGAAGCTTCCCTGGAAACAGAAAAGAGCCTTCGAGCAGATTTGGAAGAAATAAAGCAAGCATTCGAAGAAAGCAGCGAGCAGGCTAGTCTTGCAGAGGCGGCACTTTCTGATTCAAGGGCTGAATGCGGCAAGCTTGCGTACAAAGCCAGCGATCTGGAAAAGCGGCTGACCGAGAGCGAGGAAGAGTCCAAGGCCGCAATCGAAACGTTGCAGGAGAAATGCACAAGTTTGGAGGGGGGAAAGTCGGAGGTTTTCCAGCAATTGGAAACCACCAAAGACAACATTGAAAAACTCCAAGCTCAACTGCAACAGCAGCAAGAGAGCGAGGAAGAGTCCAAGGCCGCAATCGAAACGTTGCAGGAGAAATGCACAAGTTTGGAGGCGGAAAAGTCAGAGGTTGTCCAGCAAGTGGAAACCACCAAAGACAACATTGCAAAACTCCAAGCTCAACTGCAACAGCAGCAAGAAAGTCTCAAGGACGACGAAACTGCCGTGTCGCAGTGGCAAGGTAAGTTGGTGGCTGAGAGAGACTGGGATGATATCGAAATGCCGGTCTCTAAATTCCAACCACAATGTTCATTTTGCCAAATAAAGTACGAGCAACTGAGCTGGAGGCTGTGGTGAAAGAGCTGGAAGATCAACTAGCAGAGCAGGAAGAGGAAGCCCAAAATGTCATTGCCATGTGGCAAGAAAGCTGCACTAAGATCGGAGATGAGAAGTCGGAACTGGAGCAAAGGCTGGAATCATCAGAAGCCTCCGTGGCATCCGTAAGTGGTGAGCTACAAGCAACCAAACAGTTGCTTGATGAGGCCAACAATAAACTCCAAGACAAGGAAGAAGAGATCCGAACGCAACAAGGTATGTCCACGTCCACGTTTATCAAAAACTTTGCGTTGTTGATTCGATCCCAAGTCTAAGTTTGCAATATTGCATGCTTATCGTCTCAAGGTCGCGTTGCCGAGCTCGAGTCAAACCTGGAGGAGATGAGGTCGAAGCTGGCCCAACAACAAGAGCAAGCAAAGGCTGAAATTGAAAAGTGGCAAGAGAGCATTTCGTCGTTAGAAGATCTTAAGGAAGAAAAGCTGAAAGAAGATGAGGATGTTGTGCTGCAATGGCAGGGTAAGTAACACCTTGGGGATTTCATTGATCGTGGTGTGAAGAAATAATATCTGATTCTAACGTTTGATCAAAAACGAAGAACGAGCAACCGAGCTGGAAGCCGTGGTGAAAGACTTGGAGACTCAGCTGAATGAACAAGAGGAAGAAGCGAACAATGTGATTGCAATGTGGCAAGAGAGCTGCAACACCTTGGAAGCAACCAACCAAGAGCTGGCCCAGTCAAGTGAGAAACTGGAAGAGCAACTCGAATCGAGCAAAGCTGCCGCCAGCAGCGCTGCGGAGCTACTCAAGACAACAGAGGTTGACAAAAAGGAGTTACAGGGTACGTTCGAGGAAGTTTGCATGGAAAACGAAGCGAGCTGGACACTTTCTAACTTGAACGTCTCTTTTAGAACGAGTGAATGAGTTGGAAACTGCATCTAGAGGTCTCGAAGCCAAACTTAGTGACGAAGACGAGAAGGCAAAATCGTTGATTGCTGATTGGCAAGAGAAGGTTGCATCTTTGCAGGCTGCCAAGGACGAGGTCACGGTTGCCCTTACGACTGCAAAAGACAATCAACAGTCAATGGAACAAGAGCTGGCGTCACTCCAGAGCCAGATGAAAGAGACTGAAGGGGAATTGACTGTTGCTCGCGAAAGCCTAAGCGAGAAAGAAGGTCAGTGTAGTGTGGCACTACTGCTCACTCTAAGAAGTTGCAATCATTCTGTGACTCACTCATACCTTCCTGATGAATCGAATTCAGCCATGGTCGCTTCACTCGAGGGGCGGCTACAGGCAATGATAGAATCCCAGGATCTCGACGCGTCTGAGAAAGATAGGGAACTGGATTCTCTCCGCGGTCAAGTTTCAACTCTACAGCTAGAGCTGGACAAGACAGAAGCATCTCTGAAAGAAGCCCAAGCGAATCTTGCTCACAACGAGAAGGCAGTCCCGGAATGGGAAAGTACGTGCTATGATCAAGTCTTGGCCTCAAATGTTGCCGTGAAGAAGCTCCTCCAACTCACCGCTGACCTGTTTCTTGCTCCCTAGAACGTGCAAATGAATTTGAAACAAGCGTTAAGGAGCTCGAAGAACAGTTGACCGAACAAGAAAACGAGGCGACAAACGCAATTTCGGATTGGTCAGACCGCGTGCAACTGCTGGAGAAGGAGAAGGGCGACCTTGCGCAGTCATTAGCAGCCGCCCTGAACCGCAGCAAGGAACTCACGGATGAAAACAAGTCCAGTGCGTCGTCTGCTTCGCAACTAGCAGATGCCAAGGCTGCACTGGAAGAAAAGCAGCTAGTGGTAGAGGATCTGAACGGTACGTTCGTGTTTCGTTACTGGACTCACCCATGAGTTCACCTCCAGTTTCTCATGGCTGTTTTTTTCTTGATTTTGTAGAGCAAGTGGCTGAGCTCGAGTCAATGGTTAATGGACTTCGCTCAAGTCATTACTCAGTTCATCCGCCGCATACTCATCATCGTATTTCACGAGAATCTCGTCCAACGACGACACTTGCGCCTTCAACAAGTCAACAAGCTCTGCCTTGCAGGTCTCTAGCTCGGCTTGAGCTCCGGTAAGACTCTCTTGCACCATCGAATAACTTGACTCCCAGCCAGCAATGGCTTCGTTCGCTTCTGTTTCTTGCCGTTCGAGTTCAGACTCGAGTTGTTTGATTCTCTCTGTACACAACGCAATGGCAACACGTTGGAAGATGAGCTATTGTTGCACAAAGCAATCTCACAAACAAAGACACAAATGTTCTCACCATTCCACTGCGCAACGGCAGCTTCGTCTTCCTCAGATTTCTGAACCAACTGCGGGAAGATTCCTCCATGGCAGCCACTGACGTATCACGCTCTTTCTTCAGATCTTCAACGAGAGTTTCAAGTTCCGCGATCTTTTCGGTTAGGCGTTCGCTTTCCTGCGAGAAATCTGCGGTTGCCGAGGACAACTTCTCAGCGCTCTTCAGTTTGGCCACAGCTTCATCACGGTCCTTGATGGTCTCTTCGAGATGCGTGTTCAGCAACGATATCTTTTCGCCCTGAGCGGCACAGCGAGCTTCTAGTTCTTGCAAGGCAGACTCTTTTGGTCGGTCCGAAAGCTCTTGCTCGCGCTCCGCCAAAGTTGCCTCCAGATTTGCAATCTTTGACTTCAACTCAAGTGCTGCTTCCCCGTCGGCTGCAGCTGCAAGACACAACAGACAAGTCAAATAGAATGAAAGCGCCAAATGTTCAGCTGGCAAAAGGGTATACACAAGAGTGGGTGTGGTGGAGGTGAGCCATACGTACGCTTCTCGCTTGCATCCGCATCGCTGGCAGCTTCTAACTCAGCCTTCAGCTTTCCTGCTTCTTCACTGGCTTGGGTTTGAAGTGACTTGTACTGGTCCAATTCAGCGTCAACTGCTTGCTTTGTGTCTCTCAAATCTTGAACCTGGATATTCAGAGCTGCCAGCTGTTCCTCGAGCTCTCCGTTCTTTGCTCCCAACACTCCGTAGCTATCTTGCCACTCAGCAATGGCATTTTCTGCTTCAATGTGTTTGTCTTCGAGCTCCTGCTCCAAAGACTCAATGGTTGACTCCAATTCAGCAATTTGTTCTGTGTATGGAGGTGTATGGAGAAGGTGATCACAATCATGTCAGCCTTAATTTTCAAACTGCGACCAGCACACGCTGATGAATTTCTCAAGATATTCTTACGCTCGACGCTACCCTCATAGTCGGGGTCGTTGCTTCTGTCCCTGGCCCTTGCTAGAGCTTTTGAGACTTTTTCAAGCTCCTTGGACAAATCGTTGATCTGTGTCTCCAAGGCGACACAGTGCCCCTGCCACTCTCGGACCTCGCCTGCCATCTCGCTGTCTTTGGCTTTAATTTCTCAAGTTCCTGGACTAGGGACTTCAACTCTGCAACTTCACCTGGGAAGAAGAGATTTTCGCAAGAAACTGTTAATTAAAAATGCGCTGCATGAAAGCAGTGCAAAATGTTGCGATCAGACTCATTCTTACCATCATCCTTGGGGTCTGCACCTCCCTCGGTTTGTCCTGTTGGCGAAGGCAGTTCATCGTCATGGCTCAACGATACGTCTTCCAGTTCATCTGCGAGAGCCTCGCTCGTCTTGCCTCCACTTTGTCCTCGCTAGGCTTTGCTGTGTCCGTAGCCTCGAGCTGTTCAATCTTGGCCCTGGCTTCTTGCAATTCTCGATCAAGATCTTCGGCCTGACGCTTGTAGTTGGTGATGGATTCCTGCAATTGATCCCGTTTCGCAGTGGAGTCCTTTTCGCTGGTCAACAGTTGATGCTGAAGTCCATTCACCATCGATTCGAACATCGCCACTTGAGAGGCCGATTCTTCTAGCTCTTCCCGCCTGGCCGAGGCTTCCTTTTCAGTCAGAAACAGCCGTTGCTGGAGTCCATTAACCATTGACTCGAGCTCGGCCACTGCTCTACAAATCAAGACGGGAACAGTGATGAGAAACTGGCGGTGAACTCATGGGTGGGCTAGTAAAAGAAACACATACCTTTCTTATCCGAGACTTCCTTTTCATTCACAAACAACCGTTGCTGG